CTTTTTTGTTTTCCTGCATTTCATTGTGCATAAAAAATTTGATGGTAAAATATATTTGCACATATAAACCATCTTTTTCGTTAGAGTAGAATTTACCTCGTCCAAGTTATGAACAATACCTAAGATTTGTTGTTTCTTCCCCTTCGCCAGTCTTTATATCTTCCTCATGAACAATTTGTTTCTTCTTCCGAACACCATTATCTCCACAATTAGCAGCGTCATTTTTGTTCTCATGCATCAACAATATGAATTTAGATATATATCTGATATAAAAAGTATGGCACATGGTATGGTTTTATGGAATCATGATTGGTCAATATATATTTGTACAGAAAATTGTAGTCGAATATAATTGATTGCAAGTTAGTGGAAAATGAAGCAAAGTTCCACCCCCAATATCAAGATTAAAAATATCAAATCCAACATATTTCCAAGCAGACAGTGAAAGGAATAAAATAGTGTTCTTCGCCTTTGTAGCAAGCTCAGCAAATAACTAAATGCAAATATTATTAATCAACATCCTTAGCTCCCTTCATCGAAGCCAATTCTGTTAATTAAACCCACAACTTCCTTAATGTGGTTGTTGCATGATATGAATTAGATTAAATAATATAACTCACTATGAACTGTGCATGGTAACAAAATCCAAATCCTATAGTGAATAGTATAAATTTGTAATTAATATTGATCATCATTCTGATGTAGATATAATTTACCTCGATCAGGTAAGGAAGATCGTTGGTCGGTTGTCTTCCTCAACCTTCCCTATCTTGAAAATTGTGTAATCACTGGTTGGATTAGTGATGTTGTAATATGTGAGCTTGATGCCAAACTTCAACATCATTCACTCAATTTGCAGGAGATGAGCATGTGGTTGCACTCTAACGCTATCATTGTCTTGGAATATCCTTTCAGCCAAAATTTCAAAAATATTGAGCTCCCACTCTATCCATAACAACAAAATCAGTCTCTCATGTTCTGCCCACAACTCGAAGGTTTATCCTGAATTTGTATAATAATGATGATGACATAAAAATAGAATAGAATGCACTATTTTGATGAGGTATTTGGATGAAATAACTCATTATGAGTTATTTCAACCAAATTAACTTGTTTGCAAAAATAGAATAGAATGTGGTATTTTTTTCATGAGACAATTGAAATACCTACCTGCCCCTTATTTATGTCAAATAACTTATCTATCAACTTCTTTTTTCACTTCATCCCTTCTTTAAGTGGTGAAATACCACAATATTCGAATGGTTTATCCAAACAAGATAATTAGACCAATTAGCACATTCCAATTTCTTTTTCTTTAACATAAGATAATCATATTAATTGATAATAGATCAGGAATTACACCTAGACCCAACCCAGGCACGAAAACCATACAATCGACACATAGCTAGAGACAAAAAAGGGCATGTCTAGCCACAAAATGGGCTACCCTATTGCTATTCCGACCTACGAACTGAACACGAAACCCACTATTCAGACCAATCAGACTGGGATCTCATTAATAATAGACCCAACACGACTATCCCGTGCATCTTTGGCATTAATCTTATCCATGAGTATCTTCGCATCTCCTTCAAACCGAACTTGAGGGATGCCAAGAGTCTGACACCACTGAATAGCTTCACGGAGGACAATAGTCTCAACCACAAGGGGATCGACAATGTCATAAAAAACCACCCCTTTCGCCAAAACTACATTCCCACCGCCATCCCTCACTATCATCCCTCCCGGTGAATGTGAGCCAGACCGTACCGCACCGTCCCACATACACACAAAGGTTGGCCCATCCACCTCCTCCTAATGGTGCCGCGAAAGACCCCGGCCCTAGACCACTCTATCCTCCGATAAAGATACCCACTCATGCAACTGTTGATGGTATCGACGCATCAAATGGGAAACCACGAACTGCTTCCCCTCAAAAGCCGCCCAACTCCTGGATTTCCAAATACGTCACAGGAGCGCCACCACAGCCATAACTTGCTCCGGCTAGGTCATCCTAAGCTAGCACTTTGTAAGGAACAAAGGGAAGGTTTGTCTACGCAAACCTTGCCCACGATGGTCCAACCCCGAATGATGCCAGAGAGCTGCAGCGACTGGACACTCCCAAAAAAGGTGTTCCATCATTTCAGACTCTGTCCAACACACCAACATCTTGGCATAATCTGGACCCTCTTCTCAATCAATTCTTCCGTGGTAGGCAAGATACGATTAAGGATTTGCGAGAGCAACAACTTAAGTTTAGGTGGGATCTTGAGGTCCCACAATCTTATCCAACTCTCCCTATCCATCCAGCTCACCTTATGCCCTATCCTCATACTCATTCAACACCACCAACAAGTTCTCACACTCTTGCATCGAGCCCCTGAGGAACATGTACGAATCATTCGCAAAGAAGAGATGCGACACCCGCGGAGCTCTAGGACTGACTCGGACACCATCTAGCTTCTTCTCATCGATGGCCTTGCGTAAAAGCGTCGCAAAACCCTCAGTGAAAATAACAAAGAGAAGGGGGGACAAATGATCACCCTGACAGAGCCCCCTAGTCGAGTTGAAATAGCTAGTTGGTGTACCATTCATCAGAACCGAAAACGAGGACGTGCGCAAGCACTCCACAATCCACTGCACCCAAATCGGGTTAAAACCCATTCCCCTCAAGCCCGCAAGTAAGAACAAACATTCGAATCTATCATAGGCCTTTTGCATATTAACCTTCAGAGCCATATATCATTTCTTACCCTTAGTCTTTATTTTGAGGTAGTGCATCAATTTGTGACCAATGAGAACATTGTCCACTATCCGTCTTTCACGAATAAACGCATTCTGCCCTGGCAAGATAATCCCAGGGAGGAACTGAGCTAATAGTTCAAACATGATTTTAGCAATGATTTTGTACATGAACTGACATGAACATATAGGTCTCAACTGGCGCATATTTTCCACATTATCTACTTTGGGAAAAAGTGTTAACCAAGTAAGGATTCACAACATCCATCCCATACGAAAAAAGAGCAGAAAACTTCAACCATAGAATCGCCAACAACATCCCAAAAGGAGCGAAAGAATTTACTAGTGAACCCATAAGATCCCAGAGCCTACATAGGTCTAATCGAGAAGACTGTTTGGCAAACTTCTGATGCTAATACCTCAGTAGTCAGAGTCGCATTCATCTCCTCTGTGATCGTCTGAGTAATCGGAAACTCTGCCACTCGGGCCTCCATATTCTCCACATGGTTCTCAGAAGTGAAGAGAAGCTGAAAGAAATCAACCGAGATATCTGCCTTTCCCTTCTCATCAGTGACCCAATCATCATTCTCATTCCGCATCCCAACCACAAAGTTACTTTTTCTCCTTTCCCTTGTGACTTTATGAAAATAGGAAGTATTACTATCACCTTTCTTTAGCCATCGGACCCGAGATTTCTGATGCCAATACACCTCCTCAGCCTCCCATTGTCAACTGAGCTCCGTTTCAAGGTCCCTAACCCTATCCCAATCAATAGGAGACGAGTTCTTTATCTGTTCAATCTCTGTCTGGAGAGTCTTGATATTGTGGAGGGAAATAGTCGTGCCATCTCGACTCCAATCATACTAAAGATGACGGAGCCGTTTGAAGCGCGCCCATAATCTATACATTGGGGATCCATGGATATTCTCATTCCACACAAACACGACCATTTCCCTTACTTCCGGATTCTCTGCCCAACGTGCATCGAATCGGAAGAGAGGTCAGCTTTGTCGCGTGAAAGGTTTATCGGATAAAACAATTGCTCAATGATCCGACCCCTGATCCGTGTGATGCTTCACTAAGGTCTTAGGATAGTACTCCACCAGGAATGAGAACATAAGGCCTGATCAAGTCTTTCCCGAACACAAGCTTGTCCCATTCTCTTATTAGTCCAAGTGAACAGATCCCCTTGGAAACCCATATCGTGTAGTCCCAAGTTAGTCACAAAGTTTCTAAGTGCAACGGAGCTGGCCGGGTTCCAAGGATTCCCACCATCTTTCTCATTTCTCAAAAGGATTGAATTGAAATAACCTATCACCACGTAGGGCATTTGTATTTCTTCACAGAGGTTTTGTAAGTGATTCAATTGTGCTGCACGAATAACATCATTGCAACTAATATACACACCCACAATCACATAAGAAAAATTGTTCTCATCAATACGAATTGAAATATGAAAACTGGAATGACTCAACACTATAGCATAAACTCTGGGTGACCAACCAAGAACCAGACCACCCGACTCATTAAGTGCGTCAACAAAAAAATAATTGGACAAATCAAACCCTAACCTACGTATTCTACGGGAAACCACCCTACGAACCGACCTTGTTTCCGAAAGGAAAACTATATCAGGGTTATTGGAATGCAACAGACCTAAAGCAGTACAGAATGTGAGGGTTGGCCCAATCCCTCTCACATTCCAAGACAACATCCTCATTTACCCGTCCGGGGCCATTCATGGCTGGCTACCTCCACCTCTTCAGTCTCTTCATCCACTTCAGTAAATTGCCTTTTGGGAGAAGGATCATCCCGCAGATCGCCCCCTGCTACATTGAAAACCTCGCTTCGTTGATCCCATCACCTGATGGCCTTCATTGAAGCCATACTATTTTAGAAGTACACTCCCAAGCACCTCCCCTCCCGAGTGTCGTCCTCTGCATTTGAATGACTAATCCCAGCAGGCTTTGAGAGCTTCTTCGTCACCTTATACTCAAAGGCTTCAACAGCACACCGCACATGTCCCTTCCCGGGTATAGCAGACCCCGGTCTCACCTCTGGACTAGAGCGGCTCTTCAACTCATAATTATGGCCATCAGCTTCCATATCCGAATTGGAATCATCCCCGTCAGACACAACCTTCTCATAGTCCTCCTCTGCCTGTACCTTTATATGTACCTGCACTTTATGTGAAGGAAGGTTTGGGGAGTAGGGGAAGATAGGAGCTCATTAGTAGCCTCATCAAACAGTACGCCAGACTACTCCATCTCCGAGCCCCCATTTCGACCACTTTTCTTAGTCTCCGTAGCAGCTTCTCTTCCTCTTGTCTCATGCATTGATACCTTAGCCTTCCCCTGCTGCTGCGTAGGTATGCGCCCACTATCAGCCTTTCTGCCAGAATCACCAGAGTCACGCACAGACTCCATTCGATCCATCTTTACTGGTCCTCCCTTGGGATATCTCCCATCATAACGACCTTGGCCCTCCATGCCCGATAAGCTTCCATCCCTTCTCCCCTGTGATTCAGGAGAATGATGCCTTCTGTTGACCCCTTTCGACTCCCTGGGTAGCTGAACCATTTGGTCCTTCTCTTTAGTCCTCCTCTGCACCCTTTGAATCTTAGTTGGTTTAGCCATCACGAAGCCACGAGGGCTTCTTCCTTCATTCCTCTCGTCCTCCCTATGTCTGCCCAGTTAAGAGGAATCCCCCTGTCTTTTCAGATCTCCTAGTCGAGTCACCTGCATGCTTCATAGGATGAGGCTTCACAACCTTCTCCTTCTGCTTACTAGGTCCAACATTCCTCCTTCCTACATCCTCCTGATTGATCCAGACTAAACTAGAGGCGCCATAGAATGATCTGTTGTCCTCTTTTTCACCATAGAGCTTCTCCCCTAGGGATGGCAATGGGTCTGGTCAGGGAAGGATAGTGCATATCCGTTACCGTACCCACAGTAGTTCGGGTTTTACCCATACCTACATAAAAAACGGGTAGAAAATCCAAACCATGCCCATACCCGTTCGGGTTTCGGGTATCCACGGTTATCCATGGGTAACAGTTTCTCTATATAACTCTAACCAATATGTTAATATTCACACGTTTTCTCACATTATGAAAGACAAAAAGTACTACAATAATTCACTAGAATGACAAAAATTAATTAGAACAACACAATTTCATAAAAATATTATATTTATATGCTAAATATAAAATATGTTAGCGAAAATATTGATTATTTCTAGACAAAATACATATGCATGTGTATAATCAGGCGGATTCGGGTTGGATAGTGAGAAAATCATGCCCACCCATTACTCGTAATATTCGGGTTCAGGTTTTACCCGTACCCACTAAAAGTCCTTCGGGTTCGGTTTTTACCCTACCCAATTAGGTCGGATTCGGGAAGCGATGTCCAACACGCCTGCATTTTAAGCAAAAGCTGGGTAGAAACTCATATTTTAAGATAACCCAGAAACACCCAGTTTCATCACTCAAAGCCATGATCTGGGAGCGGAGAGGTTTGGTGAAATCGATGATAGCTTTCACCTTAATGAAGTTTTGTTTCTCAACATGGCAGGCATAAACCCTTGCTTCAAGGACCCTCCCAACGGTCGACTAGATCATTGTTCGTCCGAATTTAGGGGTACAACAGTCTTCATTCACATCCCAGAGCTGAATATTGAATGGAGCAGTCACCATGTCATCAAGTGTGCGAGCAGTGACATTCTAAATCCAGCTCCTCAAATGAAGGACCTTATCTTTAATGATCCAAGGAGTTCTCTGCAATACCCACTTCTTGCAGCACAAACTTGCCCTTGACCTTGCCATGCCACATTGATTGCTTCACGAATGACAGTCATCGATGGTCATCTCTCCCCAAACATCCTACCAAGGAGGGTATGGCAAGCGCGAAATTGAGTTGATTGAACCTCTTCAAGCTTGAATTGGACGATCTGATTTTGCACCTCGTGAGCCCATACTTTGCTTAAGGATTTATCTAGTAATTAAGCTAGAAACCTGGGCATTCATCAATAGACCGAGATCAATAGATAGTAATAACGAATCACAATGAAAATCCCAAACCCGACAATTAGTGCAACCAACATAAACCAAAAAATGTGTCTCAATTATACGGGCATGTACACAAGCCCAACCCATATTCGAAGGCCCAATAAACCCTTTATCCACAAGAAATTTTTGCCGAGAATCAATACTGGGTTCCCTGGGTATTAACAGACCCACTACATAATCCTCGGACAAACGCGCCACCGTCAACGACAACCTGCACGAGTGCTCAGCGGCCATCGGAGGGAACACCGTCATAGGCAAGGGCTTCGGTTTGCCCAATGAAATAAATATGTGATGAAGGAACACCAACAACGACAAGCACATAGCTCGATTAGTATTACCTACTGGTCAGTGCCCTCTGATCAACAGAGTTCTTTTGAGAAACTTTCCCGCCAATCCCCTGTTATGGAACATAACCGCCAAGGAACATTGTTCAGTAGAGGATAGAGATTTTAACCCAGCAGTATACATGCTTACAGTAAAAAAATCAGGACCCGACTTACCCAGACCTGATTGGTGACTGCTACTGCGACCGGTTAATGCACCGTTGCTGACAATTTTGGTTTCTCCCGCACTAGTCACCATGTAGTTAGAAGATGATGTTGGAATTACTTGAGGAAGAAGGAGGTGAAGTTTGGGATATGAAGGAAGGAAAGTGGCTAAGTATGGAATCCAGTCCAAGGTACCTACTTTGGGAGCTCACACATCTCAAACCAATCCATGAAAATGAGGGTTCAAGGCATCAAATTGAACTTAAAAACCTTATCTATCAATTGATGTATCTTGGAGCTCAAGGGGATGCCAGGAAGAGTGTTTTTCAAGTTCTACAAGAAGCTATGAGAAATCCTGGAAACTGCCCAGATTTGGCTAAGGCAGGAAGCTGTTTCAGGAGGCTACCTTTGAAGACCCATAACTGGAGTTTGGGAGAAGGGTTCGAGCTGATTCCAATTGGAGGTGAAAGAGGAAGTGTTCCTCTACCACGACAAGGCATTGGGTGAGATCGAATCATCCAGGAAGACCATTTTTGAGGGCTTCAAAGAAGCTACCTCACACTGCCAGTAATCCGAATCCCACAAGGATTCCTTTTCGGACTATGTTTGTAATTCAGTTTCCTTGCTTGGTTAGGTTAGTTTCAATCCTTATTTTAGTTTGTTTGTAATTGTAAGCCTATAAAAGGCCTCCTACTCGTATTGTAAGCCTCAGATTGCATTGAATAAGAAAACCCCAAAAATTGAACAACTTGCGAGTTGATTGTTGAGCTTAGGTTTTGGTTGCGATCAAACCTAGAGGAATTGAGTCTATTAACTGAGCCTATCACCCTCAGTTACTCGAAGACAACCTTATATCTCGAGTGCTTCTTCCCAGGTGTGAAGAAACCCTCAGATTCCATCTGTTCGGGTGCTCGAAACTAGCTACCTAAGCTGGGTTTGGAGCTCTGTTTCGTCAGGAGCAAGAAAGGGACTCAACTTGATCGAATTTGAGGTCTGAGCTGCTCGATTCTGATCAATCACCCTCCCAGGGGCGTATCATTAGAGACCCACCTCAGATTACCCACCCGACTAGGAGCAGAGATGCACATTATCATCATCGGTCGCAAATTAAACGAAGTTAAGTTAAATAGAAGAGATGTAGATTGAAGATTCTCTTACCTGTTTTTAGGTTAGAATACGATGGCCAATGCTCCACTACTCTGCTCGATTCTCTGCGATGATTTTCTATGAGAATAGTTGGGAGGGAGCATCGGCTTTTATACTTCATAGTATCCCACAAACAGGAGTCCTGGCACGACCCAGAACTATTTTGGAATCGAAATGGATAATCCCGTTTCAGGGAGATCCCCTGCGGAACGACTTCCCCTGTTGCCTCCAAAAAAATAGGGATGTTGATAGACCGTTAATTACACATGTTTTCACCCCTGTTCTTACACCGTTTGAGATGTGATTTCTCGTATTTTAGGCCGATTTCACGCTAGGTTGTGCTTGTTTGTGATATTTCAGGTCCTAGTACGTGAATGGAGGCTTGGGAGCGAGTTTGGGGTCGATTGGACGAAGATCGGGCGCGAGGCAAGTCAAAAAGGAGGCCACACGGGCACACCCACAACTCACACGGTCGTGCAACTCATATTTGTGGCCGTGTGAGATTGTGCGAGAGCAAACACGGCTTTCCCTGACAACTCACACGGCCATGTGAAGGAGTGGCCTGGCCGTGCGAGTTTCGCCGAGAGCGAACACGGGCAGATGGAATTCCCACACGGCCGTGCGACCCTAGCCGTGTGAGAAGCCTGAAGATCGAACTAATTGGAACGCAGCGTTTTGACTCACACGGGCAACTGGATATGCCACACGGCCGTGTGGCCCTGCCCGTGTGAGTCGGGAATTCCTGGTTTTAACCCAATTCCGGGCTACAAGAGAGAGGATCAGACTTTTTGAGCAAAAACAGAGCCCTAGAGAGAGAAAGGACGAAGAACACATCCTATAAGCCATCTTGGAGCTGGGTTTCATCAAATCAAGCTTGGAGATCGTCATAGGAGTGGAAATCATCATCCCAGAGCAGATTCTTCCCATAATTATGAGTATGATTGCTTTGTATCTTGTTTTCTTCTCTCTCTCTATGGAGTAGAACCTCTCTCCCACTTGGGGATGAAGAACCCTAGTTCTATGTGTTAGGGATTGATTGTAATGACTTGGGATGATATTATTGTTTGATTTTAATCGAATGATGCATGTTTATTAAGTCAATTGAAATCTGATCAACTTTTCCTGATTCCTGTTGCAATCTGAGATAGATAGAATCTGATTAGGTTGCTAGAGTCTCATCATTCGATAGTAGGAGATTGGCCATACGAGAGTTAGCCAGCTTACTGCTTTATACTGGAATCCAATTCCAGTAGTGGAGTTCTGTTCTTACTGCTTCAGCTTTCTATCCCGGTGAAGACTAGTCGTCTGCTGGGTAGTTAGACTGAGAGGGCTTGGTCAGCTTAAGAGATTCCAAGCTACTGTCGAATCTTCCGCAGTCTAATCAACAGTAAATCAACCCAGGGAAATAAAATTGAAACCTAACTAAGGAGCTAGGGGGACTCATTCCCGAGTGACTCTTTCCTGCTTGAGAAAACCGTATCAATTCCTGCTTTATTTCTGCTTTTGCTTTTAAACAACAATCACTTACTTTAGTTGGCTAGATAACAGAGAATCACAAAGTAAGCAGTAGATCTAGACCCCGAGTTGATAATAGAACTTGCCTGTTACTGCATTCCCGGTCTGCGATTATACTTGCTCGCAGATTGGTGGTACTCTACCCGGTCAGACCATCCCTCATCCTCAAAACCCGAATGAGCACTGCAATGCCATCATGACCAGGAGTGGCAAGATGACTGTTGATCCACCTGCTCGGGCACAAGAGAGAGAGGCCCCTGCCTCGGCATCTCCAGCAGCTGAAGAAGAAGTAGAGAAGGAGGTTGAGGTGCCTGCACCTAAACCGCAACCAGTAGTGAAGGATTATATCCCTAAACTCCTCTTCCCTACTCGGTTGCACAAAGACAGGCTGGAGTCAGAGTTCGAGAGCTTCATGGCC